CTCTGTCTAGGACCTGAACGGCTCTGTCTCCATCCTTTATCATCTTCTTTGTCTCATTGTGGTAGTTAAGAAGCAGATCCAGCGACGCTAAAGAGGACTTGGCGCTCTCAGTAGTTATCTGATGGATTGAATGATAGGACACATATGTGGAATCCATTCATAAATCTCACATAAAACAAAGCACATGGCATCTCCATTATGTCCATCAGATTTCCATACTGTGGGGGGGGGTTCAAGGTGGATATAACTGTGGACAGGTTGTTGCTATATACAGCATCCACTGATTGATAGTAATCTCCATATATTGGATGGGGAAATGCCACAGTGGTTCAGGAATGATCAAAACCAGACACTGGCTACTGGGACATCAGCAGACTTATTAGACATGCTGGAATCCAAGTCCAGGGCAGAATAACAGACATTACAGCTGCTACCAGGAGGTAGAGTTCTCAGTCAAACATACAGGGTTAGGGTCCTTTTCTTTTATCAAACTGACTAGACAATATTCCATTTTGAGCAGCTACTATTAAGATGAGCGCTATTAATAGTATTCAGTGGGTCAGACATAAAGCAGACATGGAAACTATGTGTAGTGTTGCAACACATACCTGAGCATGTTAGTCAAAATGAAGCTGACCACCAAACAGAGCAGATCCACACTGACACTGACTGTCCGCAGATAAATTACATTAAATAGCCTACTATAAGAGTGTATTTGTGTGAATGGATAAAATATGACGCAGACCTGGTCCACAGCCTCCTCCAGTATGTGCTGGGTGTCCTCCATCAACTCCTCCACCTCTCGGAACATGTCGTTCAAGCTGACCGGGCCCCGCTCCAGGGTGCCCCGCAGGACCACTGCCCCGCTCCGCGCCGCGCCGCCGGTCGCCCACACCAAGCACAAAGTCAAAGATACCGACAGCAGCATGATACCGGACATCTTTCCTTCTCTTCCTCCTCCTAGTCGCTGCTGTCTGCCCGTCCACCGAGGAGCAGAGCAGTGTGACGCACGGAGGGCGCACAGCCGCACAGCCGCACACAGCTGGATCCGTTTTATTTGGAAAGTCTGAGGAGTGGCGGCGGCGGTGGTGGGGTTATAAACTGGAACGAATCAGCTTTAATGGCGTGGAAAGGGTTCAAATTGCATCTGGTGAAGTCCATGTAGAAATCAAACGGCCGGTTATGGTGAGGTTTTAAAAAGGCTTGTGCACTGTAAAACGAATGTTAAACAGGATTAAGAGCTGGTGGCAGGGGTCTGCTAACCCCAAATACAAAATTCAATCAGCATACAAGCCAATGGAGAATGAAGAGGCAGGAAGTGTTATTGCAGTTTTCCCATATTACTGGAGTTTGGCAGAAGTTTGGCACATTGAAGTCCCAGTTTACTTTTATGTTAAAAGTTCCCTTCATAAATAGTATGCTTGGAGCAATGATGTGTGTCTGATAAGTTTCCCCCCACAAAACAGTATAATTTCCACATTAAAATCCATAAAAAGTTATTTTTATGTACATTTTGATCATTTCTAAAGTTTTCCTGCTGGACACAAGATGTCTCCTCCTTCACTGTAAAGTCCATTCTCAGTGGATGGGCACTGGTGGCTTCTAGTTCCCACATCACACTGTACAAGTTGCATACTGGACCAGAAATGTATTTTTTATTTTACGGGGTGCTAATTATAATATGCAGGTCTAAATACAGTAGGCAACAATTCTGTTTCTACTTATAACTGTAAGACGTCCACTGATTGATTACATACACATGTACTTTAACCTACTCATTGTGGTTCATTAAACTACAGTAAACTCTGATGCTATTTATGAACATAACCACAAATTATTGCAAATCATCAAACTGCAATGACTTGTACTTACATCTGAATACCAATAGATGGCAGTAGTTTCCCAAGTCTTCTCAAGATTTCTCTCTCTCACTAGAGGCAGACTAAAGTAAAAGTACAACAAATCACCTGTTACCTCTTACACTCCTCTCCAACATTGCTTCTTCAGAATTCTCCATCATGTGGAGATTTCATAGCCTACTTAACTCCTCACAGGAGCCATTGTTTACCCCAACTGTAGATACAGGGACTGGTGATATGTCCTCATTTCAGCCAGCAGTTGTCATCCACACAAGTCGTCCATTTACCAAACAAGAGCATGACGATTAATTGTGCTCTCTTGATGTCTTCAGCCCCCATATTGCACTGATGGAGTTTAGATTCCCCAATACAAACATGCAAACACAAAACCAACAGGCCTAAGGTGATTGCTTTAACTTCAAAAGGTTGCTCAATGTGATATATGATAGAAGAAAATAAACCGTCCGAGGAGACTCACCTTTTACATGCTCCACAAGGTCCAGAAGAATGTATCTCCAGCAGGGAGGCTTATTATATGATCTTCACTATATGATCCAATGGATCTCTTACAGAGCCTGCCTCTTCATTAGTGGACGTACCTAGATCAGAGATTGTGGTTGCGTCTGCTGATGTGGTCCTGCCACACACCCACTGCTAGTATTAGTATTATAATCATTATTATGGCTGTTATCATCATCGTCATCAACGATTACTTTGGATGATCCAGACTTCACTGTCACTGGGCAAACGTCCTTTCTTTGGATAATGAAGACGCATGTACTCTGTTATGATGTCATAGCAGTCCTCCACCACCTGAGGGCAGGGCAGGACAGAAGATCTCAGGGACACACTCAACTGGAAAGTTGAAAATGAGAATGGAATAAACAAAAGACACTCAAAAATAGACGGGACAGGAGCACATTCTGTACCACAAAGCATACTTTTAGTACTATAAAACATGCTGCAGTTAGTAATGTTAGTAAGTCTTTCATAAAGGCTCATGGAGGCTCATTCAGTTGTAAATGTTAAAGGGTTAGTTTACTCAACTTACAAAACCCAAACACAATTTCCTCTTTTATCTAGTGGTTACTCACCATGCAGTTAGTTTTGGTTAATTGACCCCGCCTTTCCTTCAGTGGCCCCTCACGGCTGCCATTTCAAATGAAAACACTAATCATTCTAGGTGCTTCCCCTGCTATGGTGCAGCAATAATGTGGCACTGAAGCATCACTCACTCTCTGTAAGTGGGCCAAAATACAGTAAATACAGTGTCAGGTGTGCAGTGGCTCTGCAGTGTCTCTCTCTCTCTCCCACTGGATAGGTACGATACAGAGAGCGTGTTCAGTGTGAGTGCTGTTTTCTTCTGCCTTCAGAAGACAGCTGTCACAGAGCAATAAAAGGCTGTGCCTCCCTGCAGCTGGTGTGGTAAGAAGAAGCTTCTATGTGTTGGGGGGAAGTGGCAGGAAGGGGGGCGAGGATGAATTAGAAAGTCAGTTTTTATGTACTACATGTTCAGGCCTGTGCTTTCCTCCTTTTTGCTTTCCAGTGTTTTGTGCTGCTGCCACTATCCGGCCATCAGCCTACATGTAGTGTCACGTTTCATTTTCCACCCCACCACACCAACAAAACATGTTAGTAATATTCACAATGATGAAGTCAGTAATGCTCTCAGTCAGAAGGACATTATTACCTGAGATTCAACAAACTGGAAACTAAATACTTCTTTAACAGTAAAATGACACAATACTGTGAGACGTGTGTTGGAAAGCTGTCTTTCCTCTCCACAGGAAGGTCAGAGGTCAGCCAAGAAAGAGCATCCTCTGAGCTGGTAGACAATCAGTGCATTGGTCGAAGCCGATTCTGAGGTAGGACAGTGAGCCCTCTGGACTCCACATCTGTGCAGGATCTGGAGAGATGAATCTGCAACCATAAAGGTAGAGAGCTTTGAGTTGACCTCAAAGAGAATGCTTTTGGAAATATAAAAAATACTGAGCCGGTGACTGATTACAGTCCTGATTACATTCACACATACTAGATTTGAACTTTCTTATGGATTTAACAAGTTTTATGTGTACTTAATCACCAGGGATTGCACTACTATTCAGAAGCATTGCTGACAACCATAAGTCCTGGTAGATTTATGATGTGGACACATTCTGTGTCTGCTTTGCTGTTGGTATCCTCTGTGACTTGAATGCTGACTGAGAAAAAATCCACCTGACAGTCGAAACTTACACCGAGACAAGTTTAACGCTCGGCCTCCTGCTGGATGTCTCTGTAGGGGCGCTGGGAAGCGCAGCTTTTTCAAATTTGGCTCCAGCTGTGTCAAGCTAACCACATACAGACCAAGCAGTGCCGGACATGGGGTAAATTTACTTTCACAATAAAAGAAAACTAGACTTAGATGGGCCTAATGCGCAGGTGTCAAACAGGGTATTTAAGTGTTATAGCAGTAGTAGGCTATTTGTAAGAACTTTATTTACGTAATTGGTCATACAATTCACACAAAAATAACTAAGTAAATAAACAATTAGTAATTAGTAAACAATTATTTTACACTGCACCAAAATTGAGTTTAGATAGAGATTGTGTTGGCATTCATTAACAACTCTTTTTATTTTTTTTCTGTCTGTTAATTTAAGTTTGAACTGACAACAATCCTAAAAACCACCACAGAGACATGAACCTGTCTTATTATATTGTATAAATATCAGAACTGGCTCTATAATTATTTTACATGTATCTATGTGGATGACAGAAAGCTAGTTAGCTGATTAGCTAGTTAGCTAGCTTGGCTACAAAGTTTCCCTGTAGGAACAATATAATGCTAGTAGGCTAGGTTATAGCTTGAAGGGTGTGAAGCCTAAAACTATGACATCTTTCAATACCATCTCTAAAAGGTCAACAATTCTATATTTCATTTTGGTAGCCAAAACCCAGAGTCATGTATCATTTAGCCTTTATATAAAGGAAGCTACTATATTCACTAGCTAGTCGCTAAAATGATTCTTGGCAGACAGCCTCCATACGGGAAAAGAAATGTGGCTAGTAAAATATCTTATACTACCACTTAGCTAGTCGTTAGTGAGACTTTTATTCTCTAAAACACACTAACCGGAAGTGGAGTCTCTGTCCTGTGGTCGGACTTGACGCTAGTCTACAACACGGGGGGGTCGGCAGCCACTCACGGCAGCTATCATGTGAGGAACAGGTCGCTGGAGAGAACCACAGCGCCGACATTGATGTGTTAACCGACCTGTGAGGATACTTTTGGGACTCCCACTGCCGACATATCGCGGATAAACGCCGGCGGACTCCAGCGGCGCTGCGGTGTATTCTTCATGGACTCTCGGGTGTAAGTAGCTGACAGCCGCACTTCTCCTCCCGGAGCGTGAGTGCACGTCTGAGCGCTTATCAGGAATGTTATTTTGAAATGGTTCATATCTGACATTCAGCTCACACTGCCAGGAAAGTGATTGTTTTTGTCTGCGTGTGATGCTTGTGTGGAGGTAAGCGTGATGTGACTTTGCGGCTGTTTAATAATTTCTCCTCGGCTGTAACTTTATAGATGGTGGTGCAACAGGTGACGTGGGCAGGCTCCAGACAAAGGTTTAGTGCTGAGCTGGTTTACTAAAGCAGCTCTAGTCTATGAAGAAAATTAGACAAACACATTTGAAATTGCTGCTACTCACTGCCATCAATGTAATGAACTGATACTAGGTGTAGGCCAGTGGTTCTACATCTTTTTGCTGTCAAGGACCCTGAAATTGTTACACATCAGGCTGTGGATCCGTTTAAAGTGAATTTTAATGTATTAGATTGGCAGATTAACAGTGAAGAGTCAGTCTTATCCATTACATCATTGGGCTAACTACTAGTCAATGAAGTAACAGTGAAATTAAAACATTCCCCTTTTTTCTGAGGACCCCCTGGAACTCCCTCAAGATCCCTGGGCGGTCCCTGGACCCCAGGTTGAGAACCACGGGTGTAGGTTACTGTGAGCTTAGGCTATAAATACTTGATTGTTGGATAATATTCATACTCTAATCCACAGATAGCAGATAGCCCTGCACTATACAGTATATGTCCCTTGTCGGGTATAAGAGGACAGGGGTTGCTGAAGTAAACTAAAGCGTCAGTCTCTTGAATGTCTGTTAAGTCACTATCTACCACCAACTTATGCAACACAATGCTGCTCAAGCCTACAGCCCACCCAGAGCCTGAGTTGGTGTTTAGGAGCAGCTCACCAGCACTGCTGTACGCTGGGTTTTAGAAGTACTGAGTATTTTTAGGCAGTTATTTCATGACTTTTATTGTATATCTCTCAGAAGAAGGTAGTACAGACCTCTGTGACCTCAGAGCTGGTTACCGCCATCATCACCAGAGGTGGTGGTACCAATTAGAAGTAAGGGTACTCATGTGGAGTTTCAAAAACTCATTTGTTTTTCCTGTGAAAATTTCATTTGTGATGTAAAAATGACATTTCCCACATTAATCGTGAATCATATTACAGCACAATATCTGTCGTAAAAATGATGTTCTTACCATATCGTGCAGCCATTTATTTAAATGAATTGAACTTGAAAAAAGCCGCAAAGCATAAAGGAAACACTTCAGTTTCATAGAGGGCAGGAGTTTCCCTCAGGAGTTTCAGGGTGGTGCATGTGAACTTTTAGATAGTGATCCAAGTGTGTCGCCCCCCCCCGCCCCCCCCCATCTTCCAGCTGATTCCTGTGTGCAGCAGGTGGCTTCATGTCCTCAGAGACCTGAAATCTAGTCAGGCAAGACGGCCGCATCTCATCTTTTCACCCGCAGTTGTTGTGGACTGATGTTTCAGTAGTGGTATAAACTTTCACACAATTTGCACTTGAGTAATATAATGGATTACTCTTCATCAGAACTGGATGTGCATCCGTACTCAATGAGCGCTTCCTCCCCTTTTTGTTTTACATAAGCCTGCCACGCAGTGAGGAGCTGAGAATATCAGACTGTTTGTCTTCAGGAGAGAGAACTCGGCATCCACTGCTCATAAACTCCCTGAATGTGTTTCTATTCGTATACATGGATTATGGATTGCAATTGTTGCAAGTAGCTTACAATTGCTGAATGTGAGTGTTGGTCAGAAGCAGTTTGGTCAGCATGAAGGGCTAACGGGTCAGAGGTCCAGGACTTGGACAAATCCTTGTTATATGGTGGTTTTAAACTGGGGTAATTGCAGAATAAAAGGCTTGTGTTACTTTGTTGCTGCTCTTTCTACACCGTTACTGCTGACTAAACCATGTGCACTTTTAAAACATGTTCTTAAAATATGTTTTTATGAAAGGACTTGATATTTCTTTTTGTACTTTATCCAGACACTGCAAAGCATCAGAAAACGTATAATGAGAGGTGGAATGAAGCAGCATTAGAAAACTGTATGAACATTTGACTTGTGTGATTGTCAGAGCAGTGTCATCAATAGGAAGCCCCATTTGTACCCTCAATGCTCCGTACGTCACTCCGTGCTTCGGTCACATGGCGTACCCAAAGCCATCCCACAGACGTCTGCAGTCTCCCTGGAAAGATTAAAACGTTTCCAGCAGCAACACCAATTTTTAAATGCAATGTTTCCACAGACCGTGTGACCACAGCTGACTTAAAGATGCTCTGTTGGATTTTCTTGTAAACAAGCAAAGGTAATGTTTACATTGAAGCCGGTTTTTCTAAAAACAGAAACTTTTCCGTTTGCATTTAAAAAAAGTTCTGCGTTCATGTTGTAATATCGATAGTCCGTTGTTGTTGTTGTTGCTGTTGCTGTTGCTGTTCTGTTCACACATGGCTATTTGGTTGAAAACTTAATTGTCATGTGCAAAGTGGGGCTGTGGGGCCAACATTTGCAAAGTACATTTTTTAAATATCTGATATCCTGCCTTGCTCACATCTGTGACTGTCCGAAACCACTTCCTTGTTCACTCGTTCACGGTCCCTTCTGGATACTCAATAGATCAGTCAATAGTGAGCAGTAAATTGAGATTTCATCATCATTTTTGGGAGACTTACAAATTGTAGAACATTGCATTGTGGGATTGTTTTGAGGGCACTGTATAGTAAGAATTCACACACTGAAATAAAATGGTGAAAAAATTAAACAAAGTGCACCATTATTGTAAATGGGGAGCGGTTTTGGACACAGCCCCTGTTTGTGAGCTGGCAGTGTTCTACTTCAGTGCCTTTGTCGGTGCATTGCTATATTTCTTGGCTGGTTACCACCACCAACTGACCGGCCAGATAAATGGTGTGAAACTGATGACAGGTCATATATCACTCCACAACAAAACGGGCATCCACCAAACATTGCTCCAAAGTGCTTCTGTTGCTCCAAACGTTCCTTTAAAGTGGATTCCAGTGGAGAAGAAGAGCAGAACGGAGCGGGGGCATTATGTGGAAATATTAGATCTAAGCACTGGTTTCACCTCTGTGCATGTATAGTATCAGCAGACATCTGTAAGATGTGGTAGATTAAGTACCTTTGCAATTCAACCTGCCGCTGAATCACAGTGCAAAAATACCTGACTGTTGATGTTTTCCCAAAGTTGGAATGCTATGTGATTAAACCATGGCGTAAGCTGAAGTCACAGATGACGCTAATGGTAACTAGGGCTGCAGCTATCAGTCTTTTACATCGTCAGTTCATCTTGGAAGTGGAGAAACACACCACAGATTCTTTTTATAAGGACACAATACACAAGTGAAGAACACCGGGCCGGCAAGATGCTCTGAAGACGCTCCGCTGTAGCAGCTATGAGTCAGGTTAAAGACCGTTAGAGACGTTCCGTAGCTGTGGAGCTGGAAGCCGCACACAATCAGAAGACTGGTGGTGTTTTGTCTTGTGAGTTTTTACTGCAGAAAAACAATGACTTGTTGCTGCTAACTAACTAGCTTTTCACAGTGAAGCATTGACGTTGTGCTGTGGTGGAAGCCTAGTACAGTTTTACAATTGACACACTGTATGTAGTTTTAGTTTTGTTTCAGCCCAAACTTTGGACACTTTCTGTTTTCTCTCACCTGTCTCTTCTACTCACCCGTTGCTATTTTCTCTCTGTTCCAAAGCACACTGTGTGACAGTAGTAATCATCCTTACAAACACAGTCCGCTGTGTGGCTGTATATAGTTAGATGATTAAACAAAGAGAATTGGAGAGTTAGTTAATTAGAGTTCATGTTTGGCTCTTCGGCACATGCAAACAATCTTCAGTTCACATCACGGTAATGACTGTCTGTGTGTTCATCAACTGAACGACATTGTGTGTGCAAATCATAACTGAACTAAATATATATATAATACATGTATATGGAATTTCTTGTGGTTTTTTTCCATTTATGCTTTGATCTTCACTTTACAGCCAAACCTCAAGATGTTAATCTCTGACCATTTCATGTTGCTGTTTCCTGCATATCTGTACAGTACCATGGTGCCTGTGAGGGCAAAGAAAACCAAAAAAAACAAGCCATTGCACAAGCTGTCACTTCCTGGAATGAGTGGTTGACTTATAAGGGGGTGTCACTGCGCATATCAGCCCAGGGGGAGAGCAGCAAGACAAAAATACACCAGGGAGTGGAGTGCCAGTGTCACCGGCTGACCAGATGGGCTGCTGTCAGTTGAGAAAGGCCAAGTTGAGCTCCAGTATGTCAGCGGATTTTCCAAAGGTTGGGTTGAGAACCAGAATTTGAGTTGTCTAATGATTGAAATTGGTCCAGGAAGGAAACTTTAGGTTAAAGGGACGGATCAAAGATATATTTTGTCCGTCCTACCTGTGGTGCTATTTATCCATCCTGATTTTTTTGGGGTGAGTTTCTGAGTTGTGGAGATCCAGTATAATGGAACCAGGTGGCACTTGGCTTGTGGGGCTGAAAAAGTGAATGAAATTAATGTTACTTTGAATAATATGTATAATGTATCCCAAAAATGCACCCAAATCCGCAAATTTTAGGTCCCCTTGGATGTTCTGAAAGTAAACTGTTGATTTCAAGTTTGAAAGCCACAGTGATATGGTCCTGGAATTTAGTGAATTAGTGTTTGATTCACAAAAGGCAGAGATGTAAGATTTATTTATTATTTCTCTCACCTTAATGCCCCTTGCTTAATTTTATTTTTAATCTAGAGCATATGCTTTACAAGTTGGTAACTCCTCTATTTCAGGGGGCAAAATGTAACCTTTGGCCAGTGAATGTTTTATTGGTATCTCTGAAACTGGTACCTCATGCATATAGAAGACTGTTTAGAAGATTTGACTTTATGTTTAGATGATCCTCCTTTCCATTAAAGTTAAAGGAAGTTCAAGGTTGCACATTTGAGTCGTACTCCCAAAAATGGACC